GGGAACCTCTGACTTGGCAGCTAAGTCGGTCAGAAGTCTGGGTAACCCGGGGACCCAACACTTGTGACTGACTTCTGAGGTGAGGGCAATCTTGTTGAACAGTCCTTAAAACCTGTGGAGTCCGACACTAGCTCGAGACAGCTGTGTCAGAACTGGTTGGTGTCTATCTAGGGCAGTGCTTCTCAACCTTCCTAATGTCGCGACCCTTTAATACAGTTCCTCATGCTGTGGTGACCCCCAACCATAAAATTATTTTCGTTGCTACTTCATAACTGTAATTTTGCTACTGTTATGAATCGTAATGTAAATATCTGATATGTAGGATGTCTTTAGGTGACCCCTGTGAAAGGGTTGTTTGACCCCCAAAAGGGTCTCGACCCACAGGTTGAGAACCTCTGTTCACTTGAAGAGGTAGCAAGCTTCCTGTTACTTGTGATGTGCTCAGGCAGGGAAGAAGCAGCTCGCAGCTGGCAAAGCTGTAGCAGGGACCTACACTGTGAGTGTGGGACCAGATGAACTCCGAGACGGAGATACAGTCTGTGCTGAAGGATGCTGAGCTGCAAGCTGTTCACCAGCCCATGACAAAGTGTATGGGAGTGGAGAGCAAGCATTGAGGGACTTTACAGTGTGTTGACATTCACGTGGCCTCCATGTACATGCTCAGTGCAATCATCTCATGAAACTGAGTCCAGACCAACGCGGTGCTACCCAGCTCCCCAATGCATCACAGGGGTGAGTGCTGCATACCAGTGCCGCAGGGTGGGCCACATACAGGTCTGTGACTTGCTGGAAATAAAAAGGGGGTCCTTCACCGTGGCAATCTTCGAAGCACTTGCAGAGGCCTTGACCTCTCTGGGACGTCCCTGGTAAAGCCCTGTCTGGCCACTCCATCTCAAGGTGGGCTCGTCCTGTTATGTCACACCCTGGTTCCCTGTTTTTTTCTTCACAGTAGTTACCAAAGTCTGCAACCATTCTCTGGGTCTGCGTTCATTACTGACTGTTCTCCCTGCTAGCCCGTAAGCCCATGGGGACAGGGACCTCAGCAGGCCTATTCATGCCTGCATCCAGGGCTCAGTCTGTCTGGCACTGAGAAATGACCCTAACAATACAGGGTGAATAAATGGTTGGGCATATTATGTGAAAAGCACTTCTGAGATAACATGGCTTTGGTAATGACAGGCAAGCTTATTCAGACAACCCTCCCACTGAAAACACTAGGAGTACTAGAAAAATATTGATCGTGTCCTTAAAAGTACTGGAGTGCTTACCAGATAGGAGGAATTACCAACCAAAACTGAAAGGCAAGTGGGTCCCCACAGAGGTTTAAATAAGGCAAGAAAATCAGCCTTTTTAGGCCTGAGGACATTTGTCAATTCTGGCAAAACTGAATTTGAATTTGGGGACAAGCAGACAAAGAATCAAACCCTAAGATCCACTAAAGCAGTCAAGTCTCACAGGAGACCTCCCCACGTTAAGCTAGGACCCCAAAGGGGTAGAGTGCT